TGTGTGGCTGTTGACTGCTTTTAAATTGTTTCCGTATTTTGATTGTCTGGTTTTATTGCTTTTTGTTTGTATTATTCCCTTCCCCTTCGGTTTGTTAGCCGCCCTGAGTCCCTCCGGAAATAGGGCGGCATACAAGTGTAATAAACCTTGAACCTTGAACCTTGGGCCATTGACTGATAGCATTTTGTAATAAAACAATACTTTGATGGGGTTACTTTAAATGTCACTTAGAAACAATTGAGCTAGTCCAGATTATTGCAGCTTCTGTGCCACTAACCAGTAATCCAACTAACTGTATTGTATATTATAGTCCTACTGACTGAACCAAAATAGTTATTAAGCTGTTAGGTTTTGCCGCTAAATTCCATGGATGAAATTTTCTTTATACTCAACTCTGTCCAACAAGACATTCCAGTGTTAGATAAAAATTACAGTTTGAAAATTACAGTGAGCCAGCAAGTAGGAATGCATAGCAATTTTTTGTTTGTTTGTTCGTAATGTGAACCCCTTGCTCCTGAAACACCATCAAAATGATCATTAGAGATCAAGAGCAATCTATGAATTAAGAGCAAGAGAGCCAATGTATAACAATTTAATATATAGTAGAAACAGATTTATTTATTTATTTTATTTAGTTTGTAAAACATGTAAAAGATAACAGGTATAAGTATAAACTTAAATATGAACACAGTAAATGGGTACAAATAAATGGAGACAGTAGAACAGGGACAGTAGGCACGCTAGTGTGCTTATGCAGGCCCCTTACAGATCTCTTGGGAAGGGGTAAGATCAACAGTAGACAGTCTTAGGTTAAAATTATGAGAGTTTGGAGATGTAACAACAGAGCCAGCTAGTGCATTCCAGGCATTGACCACTCTAATGCTGAATTGGAATTGGTACTGTATCACAATGACCCTGATGAAGGTCATACTGGCCTGATAGGTGCTTTATTGCAAGGGAAGGATTGTGGTTCAGTAATCGAACATATGCTTTGCAATTAAACACTCCAAATTCATTTCATAGTATCTTCAGGTTGGGTTGGAGAAGCTCTGGGAAACTTGCTTCCAATCAGTGCTAATATGATTAAGGGGTTGGATCAATGATTATCTCAGTAAAAGGCATTTTGTTAGGTAAACTCTTACTGCTAGTGAATGTAGAATAAGTCAGGTGCTATACCAGTTCTAAAAATTGTAGTCAATAATTTTTCCAAATTTGTCAGATAAGAGAGGGTGGTGTAGATTTTGTGTGTGTGCTTTATAAAGAATAAAATGTAGTTGTTTAGGAGAACAACTTTTATATGGTGAACATATATCATTTTTAAAGCTCTAATAATACTTGCTTATATCCTGTTTTAGACTCCGAATGGCTCAGCAATCAGTGAGCAAGTTAACTTCAGAAAAAAAAGTGGAAACTAGGAAAATAAATCCAACTGCCAGTCTGGTATGTTACATTCTTATTGTGATTCTGGTTTCTGGTTCTCTTTTAAATAGAGCTGTTAATTCTTATGGAGTTAATCTACTAAAAAACAAGTTCATATTTTCAGTTTTAGGATAGGTGTCCTAAAGGCTTCCTCCTGCAGTGGCATTATATCTTGGAGCCAGCTTACAAAATCATTGTAGATTTTAACTCAACGTGTTTCTGTATAAAATATTAATCTGAATGTTAATTGAGCATGGGGATCCTTTCCTGTTGCATTAAATAATTCTTGGCATTGTTTTTGCCTTTCAAGATATTTTCCATTTCTGAAATATTAATATGACACCATAGATTGAAAAGATAGTTAATACCACATTCCTGTAAGAGGTCCTCTAAATTTGTCATTTTAATTTATTTAAGAACAAGTTCTGAATTGCTGGATTTGGTCCAGTATTGGCTACTGTCTCTTTTTATGTAGACAGACGGAAAATTCTTTTGCTGCATGTATACAGATACCAGCAAGCTAGAGGGAATTGAGTCCAATTTAGTAACAAAGATATGACTATTTATTTGAGGGACAATCTGATGTTGAGCAGCTATATGAAATCAAAAGAGAGTTTGCTATTAATTAATTTAATATAAATTATCTGAAATAGTATATGATAATGTATGGCTATCAAGTTTGTATTGGGTCTGGTCTACAGTTAAAATATCATACGGTTCACCACATGGACTGTATAAAATACTCATTTTTGAAGGAAAGGGTAAATCCCTACAAGTAGCTGGCTTCAAATCATGCCTTTATTTTTTACTTCTACAACTTTTAAATGTCTGTGTTTTTTTCATATTTGTAATTTTTACAGATATACACTGTTGACAAAATGTACAGTCTTTTTGACATATATTTGCTTTAAAAACATATCCTTCCTGTCTTAGTGTGGCACTTCAGGAATTAATTTTCTGGAGAAAATGGAGGGAGGGGGAAGCTTATGTCTACTCTGGTTTCAAATTGCTCCATTCTTTTGGCCTAAACCATATACTCTCTGCAGTTTGTAAACAGATGGAAAACTAAAGCAAAGAATGATAATAAACTCCTTTTCTCTTAAACAACAGAAAGAAAGACTACGTCAGAAAGAAGCCGGGGTGACACCCAACTGAAAGAAGAACCCCAAAATGAAACAAAAACCAATGAGAGTGTGACCTTGATGATGTTACACGTTGCTCCTTCTCTTCGGGAGCACCTTATTTTAGATGAAGTTCTGTGTTGCTTTTTTCTTCCGACAATCCACCAAAGATTTTTCAATCCCTTGGTTTATACAAGCAAGGGAATGCTAAGAAGTTTGTTTACATGGGACTTAGGAAGGGTTCCCCAGTAACTGTTTCTTGTATGGTTGAAACCAAATGGTTTTCTTAAAAGCGAAGAATGTCTCTATGCAAAGTGCACTAGTATGGAAGAGCAAATCTGGATTTTAGGCAGGGAAATAAATAGCTTTATATCATCTGCAACAGATGTATGGGATGGCTAATATAAGTCTATTGAAGATTTGCTGAATTGGTGTCTGCTTAAAATTATTTTTATGGTGTTCAAAGGATTAAGTTTATCTTCTATATTTTATCATAATTATTTTTATAAGAAGCTCAATCTATGCATAGGAATAGAAATACATTTTTTGCATATAGGAGAGAGAATTAATATCAAAATATATGCTGCACTTGTATCGACTAATGTTTTGAGTTTTGTTCCTATTTTAATGGTAAAATGAAGACGTGCATATCTAGATGAAGGTCAGATAGCAGTCTTCAACAATACATTATTTATAATCATTTAAGAGGATACTGTGTAAAAACTGTTTCCATTATTTGTAATTAATTTAAAGGAAAGCCTATATTCTTTAATGATTTAAGATTTTGATATAACCAATGTTTAGATATTTCTACATAATTCTGTGAGTATGCATGTGTCTGGAACAGAGTGCACACTTATATACAAACATATTTTCTACTTATTGTGTGTGTGTGTGTATGTGTGTGTATCATTGCCTAGATTAAGAAAAAAGACAGCATTGATCTCCAATTTTTCATGCTGTAACAACTTGTATGAAGGGCAGCTTAGAATTAAAATTATAATTGAAATGAATAAATAATAAAATTAAACTGCAATTCATGTCCTACATCAGAAGCTAAATGGTCACAAAGCAAACCACATGACAGAGAAAGAGATTGCAAAGATTGCTGGGTGCTGCAACCTCATTTAGGTAAATTTTGCTGTGCAGCAGCAATGCCACCATTACTCTCACACCCACATGTGCTGTTGTCCATTATGGATATTTGGGCTTAAACTAAAAAGTGATATTTATTAATTTATTACTATTGTCTTATTTATAGATTGTCACTAATCAAAGTAGCCACTAACAAGGAGGGGTTGTAATAATAATTAGGTTAAAATAGCATAATGTTAAAAAGCAATGAAGCATAGGCCAAAGTTGTTGACTCAGCAGGTGAAGAAAATGTGGACTCAGAAGTTGGTAATTTTATTTATTTATTTATTTATTCAATTTATATGCCATGCATCTCACCAAAAAGGTGACTCTGAGGGTCTATAATCAGGGTTCTGTGGTCTAGAGGTAGAAAGAAAAATATTTCTCTTTCTTGTCTCAAAGAAAGATGTGCCACTGAATCTGAGTGGCGTGGTTTTCCAGCTCTTGTACTACAGGGAATTGAAGAAAGACTGTTGGTATTTCATCCCCATAGCAATAGCACTTAGACTTATATACCGCTTCACAGTGCTTTACAGCCCTCTCTAAGTGGTTTATGGAGTCAGCATATTGCCCTTAACAATCTGGGTCCTCATAGCATCTGCCTTTTTTCGAAATGCTTTGCATGATCAGAAGCACAAAGAAGCACTTTTTGTTCCTCAAAATGTCCCATCTCTTAAAAAGAAAAGAAAAGTGCATTTTGTCTTGAATTATGATGAAGCCAAAGAGGGTATGATGAACAGCAAAAAATATATAAAAGAATCGCCTGCATGATAAATAAAGACTTGGGTTAAGTGAATGCATGGTTATTCAATATGTCTTATTAAACTGTAAAGAAAATTTCAAATATGCAATATGTAACTTCTTTTTTATCTTTGCACAATTAAGGAAAAGGGCTCTAAAGTGTATATAATGATTGCTATTGGAATATGACATTTGTAGAAAACATAGTTAAACAGTTCACAAAAAGAACTATTGTTGATGTTAATAGTGAACAGCAAAATATTATTTTTCTCTTAGATAGAAACATGACGTATTTTTCCCTGTCATGAATGGAAACCGATACAATAAATTGAGAAAATTAAAATGGTTTGTGTAAAATGTAATACAGATTTTTAGTATTGTGAAAGTTCACTAAACTATCAAGTAGTTACGTACGTAATATACCGCAATAAATTCCCAGCTTCACAAACTGTGTTATTATACAATGTCAAATCTTTTGCTTCTAAGATTTGACAACTTTCCATAAGTAAAAAAATGCTTCTGAGTCTATCGGTTGCAAATTTTAGACTCACAATGAGACAATCCCATTCAAATTCCAAAATTAGAAGTGGGTAAATGGTTGCTTTGTTACAGGACCTTTAAACACTCAAGCAAGAAATAGCAAAAACATGGTAATTTATGCTGAGATAGAGAGAGAAAGAGACTTTCTGGTTAATTAAATTTTATTTAGTATAATTCAGTATCATTACTCTTTACCTTGCAAATATATGGCAACTCACCATTTTCAGTTAAAAGATTAATATGACAAAAAGAACACCAAACTCTGTTTATATTTTGCAATAGATAAAATCCCACTTAATGTTATTTTGTAATATTTTAAAATGAATCTATTTATTTTGCAAACTGGAAGACATGTTATCATAATCTGCACTATGTCAATGTCAATACAGAAGAAAAAAGAAAGATGATGTTATATGTATCATTTTCCATGTTTCAACCAAGTTGTTGGAATAGGAAAAACAGAAGTAGAAATCTGTTTTGTAGAAAAGGAATATCCTTATCCAGAAAATATAAATTTTTACCCAGTGGAGGGAATATTTGGATCAGATCACCAAGTGAATCCAATATCTACACATGCTATTTGGGTTTTTATTTTTCTACTAATGTATACATGAATTTCTTTGTCCTGGTTGGCTCGAATTGCTATGATATACTTCAGAAAAATCTCAGTTTATAGCTGGATAAATGATACGTAGCACTATGTGTTTATAGAGTTTGGAAATAGTATATCAAAAGCCATCGGTGGTACAAATCAGTCATTCAGTAAATATAGAAGTATAAATATACTGACAATTAGAGAACAGTAAAAACAAAAACCAATCATAAAATATAGCTTTGATTTCTTTATATTTACTAAGTATTTTTAAATTTAAAGATATTGTGGAAATAATGTGTTTAAGAATGTAATTATTTTTTAAATAATAACTTGATTCTCAATTTAATCTTCCTGTCAAAGCTGTCTCTACTGGAAAGTAGATTGCTTTCCTCATTCTACCAGCCAACCTATTGTTCCAGAGATTCTCTGCCTCTTTACTGACAACATTTCTGTTTTCATATTTATGTTATTATGGCAGGGAGAGGATTTTTTTTGTTACATTTATAAACCACTGACTTTATGACAACTCTGGTCCATGTTCTATCTATAGAAACAGAGAAAACCAATCTCCATCTCATAAATCAGATGGCCAACAAGGAGCCTGCCCACCACTGTAGTTCAAGGGCTAGGAAAGGAACCAGATTTTAAGGCTCATCCAAATAAAGTAGGGTGAGGCTTTATGGATCTCAGAGAGAACATCATTCCAGAGAATATACACTATGGAAGAGAAGCACTAGTCCCTTGACTTTTCAGGTGGCATTGCTTAATCAATAGAACTTGAGAATGCCAACTTTGCTGAACTATATAGGATGGGCAAGTAACTTGAGCCTATGCCATGAAGGACTTTATGGAGAATAAGCATAGTTTAAATTTCATTCCCATTGAAATCTATGCAGCTCCAGGAAAAGATATTTTTGGGGCATAACAAAACATACCCACAATAACCCATGCCTCTGCATTCTGGATCAGCTGTAGCTCCATGTAGCCTACAAAAACAAATCCATGTAGAATTCATTGCAGTAGACCAGTCAAGATGACTAGAACATAAGTAGATACTTTAAGCACCTCCTAAGACAAATACAGGTACAAGCGGTGACACTTGAATCTGTACTTATTCATAGTATATTGAAGTATAAAATATTGCAGCTACCGCCTATTCCTTAACCCACAAAGTACACATCAATCCTGAAGGAGGCAGTGCAACTCGACTTAGAACTAAAGGGGAGCATCTCCAGATCCAAGTGATAAAAATACCATCAGCCAACAGGTCTTGTCAGGATAGAACCTGAGCTGGTTCCTCCCCACTCGGACTCCCACAGCCTCCGGGCATTCACTAGCTATAGATTCAATTAAGCACATATATAATAAATGCTCGCACAGGTTGACACCCAAGTGTGGCTGGTTCTGACTTCTTTGAAGCAGTATATCACAAAAATAAAAGGCTATAAGTGGGTTTCCATAAAATTATAATGCAAATCATACACACAGAGACATCATTGCCATTAATCGTGGGGCTATAACTTCTATTTAAACTGATAACAAATTGCTTGAATGCAATTTAATAAGTGATGGATGTTATGGATGCCATTTATGAAAGAATATCATCTGGTAAGGTGCCAGGGCTTTTCTGCCATGGTAATGCCCTGTGGAACATCACTCCCTCCCCAAACCTTAGATTGGCCCTTAACACTCTCATCCTTTAAGAAAGCCTGAAAACATGGTTCTTATGCCATGCCCAGATGTTCTGGTAATGGTAGGGAACTTTTACAGTGGCTGTGTTGAGTTGATGTATGGTGAATTAAACATTTTCTGTTTTAAAATAATTATGGGTAGGTTTTATACATTGATATAGTATGTTGGTTTTTCACTTGTTTTTATTGGATTATTTTAACCTGTTGAAAAGCTGCCCTGAGATGCTTAGATGAAATGGGTGGTCATAAACATTGAATAATATTAAAGTAAAATAAACATTTCCTTTCAAACTGCCACATTTGACACAGCGTTAAGAGTGTTGGAAACCTTGTTAGAATTCTCCAGTTCCTGTCCGGTCCTTATAACTTTAAAAGATTTAGTTTATCAAGTATAGTCCTCTTGTGAGATGACATGTATTTATTTCCTGATGCTCATGAAGCTCATTTTGTTTGTTGGCTTACTTGTTTGTTGTCTTTTAAATATTAAAACATATTTTGACTTAAATCGTCCTTATCAATTAAGCACAATCTACAGATCATTTAAGATTGATAGGGCTGGTACAAAGAAACAATCCTTTAGGTATTATTTGAACTATTGTATATTTTCTATCAACTATGACTGGTACAGAAACAGGAAGTGAATCTGCCCCATTTTTTTGCCACCACCAAATTAATGCAAATCGATTTCATACATTGCTATGCTGCATAAAAGGTTTTTTTTTAAACCCTATGGGCAGCCCCAAAATTTTTCAAGATTATGTCCCTATAAACAGGATTTTCTACAGGTTTTCAATGAAAAATTAACTCTTAATTAAAATTAATTAATTAAAATTAGCATAAGCTTGTCAAGATCTAACAGAGATAAATAAGTACACACACAAAAAAACCATTAGGAACAAGCTGCCAAAATGCCCAGTTCTTCTGGTGACATGATTTATCCTAGTCCCACTTTGCAGCTCTTGAATGAAATGGATATCTTAAAATTGTAAGCTTTTCTTCAAGAGTTAAGGTGTCTTTTTCCCCCTCCTTCCCAGATTCAAAAACTGGGCCAAAGTTTATAATCCTGTCTGATCTAGTGCTTTCCCTAGACTTGCGAATGATGGCCTCAAAACCAATTTTATTAACTCCCTCCTCCAAAAAAAACAGACCTAGTTACAAAATTGACACTTAGTTGTGCTCTAGTCCTCTGGCATGTGTATTAGAAGACAGGACATTTTCTTCCAAATGTTGATGCTCTCTTTATATGAATCTTTTTTTAATCTTCATCTGGAGTGACAAATTTAAGTGTTTGTGTTTGGAAAAACTTTTGTCTTCATTGTTTTAAAGCTTGTTGCTGAACTGCTGGGATTTCAACCACATTGCTTTCCATTTTCAGAAGCATTCTCTAGCCATTGCAGCACATTACAGATCTGGGGAAGACAATAAATGTGACTCTGTGGACATTCTCAGTCATCCAAATAATGGTTGTCCCAGAGGTGCTTTTTCAAAAGACAACTTGACTTTGTTTTTCCTTGAAGACATTTCACTTCTTATCCAAGAAGTTTCTTCAGCTGGATGAGAAGTGAAACTTCTCAAAGAAAAACAAAGTCCAGTTGCCTTTTGAAAAAGCACCTTTGGGATAGATGTGACTCCTTACTTCACTGAAATTGAGCCTCAGAGATTTCTATAGCACAGTGATGGCTAACCTTTTTGTCGTTGTGTACCAAAAGTGTGTGCGTGCACCCATAATGCAATGCGTGTGCGACCCCTCCCATATGCCCCGCCCCATGCATGCATGCCCCCCACATGCTCCCTGCGCATGTGCAGCAGTGACCCAAAAACCAGCTGGCTGGGGGGAGGTGTGTGTGCTTGTACGGTGGAGCTGAGCTGGGGTGACATGCCCGCAGAGGGCTCTGTGTGCCACCTGTTGCATGTGTGCCATAGGTTCTGATAATTGTGATGTGTCTTAGAAAATCTTTTGTCCTAAGGCCATTTACACTACAGCACATTTCTGGGATGTTTTGTTTATTTAAAGTTTTCTGACTTAAGCCCTGGGAATGGATCTGAATGATATACATTAATAACTGGTAGCGCCTTGGCCTAGCCTGCATATCTGTATTCTAATATTTAAGTATATTATTCAGGACAAGAAAAGTAATCTATTTCTTGATGCCACATGGATAATAAGAATGATTATAAATGTCAAGTTAGGGTTTCCTGCCTAGGCAAGGGGTTGGATTAGAAGACCTCCAACGTCCCTTCCAACTCTGCTATTGTATTGTAAGTTATTGCAGAATATATTATTCTGTTCTGTAAATGCAAGTTCTGGGGCTACAAGCACTGATTTTATATATGGCAGTATGCAAATATTGTAGTTTCTCATATCCATGGTTGCTCCAGACCAAAGTTTGGTGTGTGTGTGTGTGTGTGTGTGTGTGTGTGTGTGTGTGTGTGTGTGTGTGTGTGTGAAGGTTTTGTTTGTATATACACTTTTGACTTTGTTATTT